ACTGCTGTGTCCTAGCAAGACCTATTACACTGCTAATGTGTCTTAGCCAGACCTAGTACACTGCTAATGTGTCCTAGCAAGACCTAGTACACTGCTGTGTCCTAGCAAGACCTAGTACACTGCTAATGAGTCCTAGCCAGACCTATTACACTGCTGTGTCCTAGCCAGACCTAGTACACTGCTAATGTGTTTTAGCAAGACCAAGTACACTGCTAATGTGTCCTAGCCAGACCTAGAACACTGCTAAAGAGTCTTAGCCAGACCTAGTACACTGCTGTGTCCTAGCAAGATCTAGTACATTGCTGTTTCTTAGACAGACCTATTACACTGCTAATGTGTCTTAGCCAGACCTATTACACTGCTGTGTCCTAGCAAGACCTATTACACTGCTGTGTCCTAGCCAGACCTAGTACACTGCTAATGTGTCCTAGCAAGACCTAGTACACTGCTAATGTGTCCTAGCCAGACCTAGTACACCGCTGTGTCCTAGCCAGAAATAGTACACTGCTAATGTGTCTTAGCCAGACCTAGTACACTGCTAATGTGTCCTAGCAAGACCTAGTACACTGTTGTGTCTTAGCAAGACCTAGTACACTGCTAATGTGTCCTAGCAAGACCTAGTACAATGTTGTGTCTTAGCCAAACCTAGTACACTTCTAATGTGTCCTAGCAAGACCTAGTACACTGCTGTGTCTTAGCAAGACCTAGTACACTGCTAATGTGTCCTAGCAAGACCTAGTACAATGTTGTGTCTTAGCCAAACCTAGTACACTTCTAATGTGTCCTAGCAAGACCTAGTACACTGCTAATGTGTCTTAGCCAGACCTAGTAGACTGCTAATGCGTCTTAACAAGACCTAGTAGACTGCTAATGTGTCTTAGCAAGACCTAGTACACTGCTGTGTCTTAGCCAGACCTAGTACACTGCTAATGTCTCTTAGCAAAACCTAGTACACTGCTAATGTGTCTTAGCCAGACCTAGTACACTGCTAATGTGTCTTACCCAGACCTAGTACACTGCTAATGTGTCTCATCAAGACCTAGTACACTGCTAATGTGTCTTATCAAGACCTAGTACGCTGCTAATGTGTCTTAGTAAGACCTAGTACGCTGCTAATGTGTCTTAGTAAGACCTAGTACACTGCTAATGTGTCTTAGTAAGACCTAGTATACTGCTAATGTGTCTTAGTAAGACCTAGTACACTGCTAATGTGTCTTAGTAAGACCTAGTACACTGCTAATGTGTCTTAGTAAGACCTAGTATACTGCTGTGTCTTAGTAAGACCTAGTACGCTGCTAATGTGTCTTAGTAAGACCTAGTACACTGCTAATGTGTCTTAGTAAGACCTAGTACACTGCTAATGTGTCTTAGTAAGACCTAGTATACTGCTAATGTGTCTTTAGTAAGACCTAGTACACTGCTAATGTGTCTTAGTAAGACCTAGTATACTGCTAATGTGTCTTAGTAAGACCTAGTACACTGCTAATGTGTCTTAGTAAGACCTAGTACACTGCTAATGTGTCTTAGTAAGACCTAGTACACTGCTAATGTGTCTTAGTAAGACCTAGTACACTGCTAATGTGTCTTAGTAAGACCTAGTATACTGCTAATGTGTCTTAGTAAGACCTAGTATACTGCTAATGTGTCTTAGTAAGACCTAGTACGCTGCTAATGTGTCTTAGTAAGACCTAGTATACTGCTAATGTGTCTTAGTAAGACCTAGTACACTGCTAATGTGTCTTAGTAAGACCTAGTACAAATGCTAATGTGTCTTAGTAAGACCTAGTACACTGCTAATGTGTCTTAGTAAGACCTAGTACACTGCTAATGTGTCTTAGTAAGACCTAGTACACTGCTAATGTGTCTTAGTAAGACCTAGTACACTGCTAATGTGTCTTAGTAAGACCTAGTATACTGCTAATGTGTCTTAGTAAGACCTAGTACGCTGCTAATGTGTCTTAGTAAGACCTAGTACACTGCTAATGTGTCTTAGTAAGACCTAGTACACTGCTAATGTGTCTTAGTAAGACCTAGTATACTGCTAATGTGTCTTAGTAAGACCTAGTATACTGCTAATGTGTCTTAGTAAGACCTAGTATACTGCTAATGTGTTTTAGCAAGACCTAGTACACTGCTAATGTGTGTTAGTAAGACCTAGTACACTGCTAATGTGTTTTAGCAAGACCTAGTACACTGCTAATGTGTCTTAGTAAGACCTAGTACACTGCTAATGTGTCTTAGTAAGACCTAGTACACTGCTAATGTGTCTTAGTAAGACCTAGTACACTGCTAATGTGTCTTAGTAAGACCTAGTATACTGCTAATGTGTTTTAGCAAGACCTAGTACACTGCTAATGTGTCTTAGTAAGACCTAGTACACTGCTAATGTGTTTTAGCAAGACCTAGTACACTGCTAATGTGTCTTAGTAAGACCTAGTACACTGCTAATGTGTCTTAGTAAGACCTAGTACACTGCTAATGTGTCTTAGTAAGACCTAGTATACTGCTAATGTGTCTTAGTAAGACCTAGTATACTGCTAATGTGTTTTAGCAAGACCTAGTACACTGCTAATGTGTCTTAGTAAGACCTAGTACACTGCTAATGTGTCTTAGTAAGACCTAGTATACTGCTAATGTGTTTTAGCAAGACCTAGTACACTTTTTATACGTCCTAGCAAGGCCTGGCATATTAATCGTCCTAGGAAGCACTGTTCAGAAGAAGAAATGTTCATGTTTGGTAAAGACGTTCCCACATTAATGGGAGAGAGAGAGAAATAGAAAGAGGAGAGACAGGGGAGAGAGAGAGATAGGAGGAGAAGAGAGAGGAGAGAGAGAGAGAGAGAGTAGAGAGAGAGAGGAGAGAGAGAGAGAGAGAGAGAGTGAAGAGAGAGAGAGAGAGAAGAGAGAAAGGAGAAGAGAGAGAAGAGAGGAGAGAGAGGAGAAAGAGAAAGTGAGAGAGAGAAGGAGAAGAGAGAGTGAGAAGAGAGAGACGAGAAAGAGGAGGAAAGAAGAGAAAGAGAGAAAGAGAAGAGAAGAGAGTGAGAAAGAGAGAAGAGAGAAAGAGAGGAGAGAGAAAGAGAGGAGAAAGAGAGAGAGAGAAAGAGAAGAGAAAGACGGAAAGAGAGAGAAAGAGAAGAGAGGAGAGAAAGAGAGAAGAGAGAGAGAGAAGAGGGAGAGAGAGAGAGTGAAGAGGAGAGAAGAGATGAGAGAGAGAGAGAGAGAAGAGAGAGAGAGAGTGAGAGAGGAGAGAGAGAGAGAGAGAGGAGAAGAGGAGAAGAGAGAGAGAGGAGAGAGAAGAGAGAGAGAGAGAGAGAGAGAGAGAGAGAAGAGAGAGAGAAGAGAGAGAGAGGAGAGAGAGAAAGAGGAAGAGAAGAGAAAGAGAGAGAGAAGAAGAGGAGAAAGAGAGAGAGAAGAAGAGAGAGAGAGAGAGAAGAGAGAGAGAGAGAGGAGAGAGGAAGAGAGAGAGAGAGAGAGAGGAAGAGAGAGAGAGAGAAGAGAAAGAGGAAGAAGAGAGAGAGGAGAGAGAGAGGAGAGAGAGAGAGAGAGAGAGAGAGAGAGAGAGAGAGAGAGAGAGAGAGAGAGAGAGAGAGAGAGAGAGAGAGAGAGAGAGAGAGAGAGGAGGACTGGACATTGCTGGCGCTTTCGACCGGGTGTGGCACCAGGGCTTCTTAGCAAACTTCAAGCACTGGGAATTGCAGGCTCTACACTGGGAATTGCAGGCTCTAGGCTATGTCTCCTCAGTGACTACCTTCATGGTAGATCTCTAAGTGTAGTTCTCAATGGAACGGAATCAGCAAGACATCCTATTGGGGCAAGTGTTCCACAAGGAAGCATGCTGGGTCCATTGTTATGGAATGTCTACTTCAACGACCTTCTTCATCTCATCCCAGAATCACATGCATATGCAGACGACTGTACACTGACATTCACTTATCCAAGAAAAGAAATGCCAGCTGCTCTAAGCTACATCAATCACCAGCTGAGAGCTATATCAGCTTGGGGAAATAGATGGCAAGTAACATTTGCACCTGAGAAAACGCAAATGATGATGGTCTCTAGGCACCATGATGGTAATGCTGGTCCAGTAGTAAGGATGAATGGGAGGGTGTTGGCACATGGGGAAGAAGTTAATATCCTTGGGGTGAAATTTGACTCCAAACTAACCATGAAGAACCACATTGTAAATCTTGCAAACAAGGCAGCCAGGAAGCTTACAGCACTTCGCCGTATCTCGCATCTGCTTGACAGTAGGTGTTGCAAGATTCTGTACGAGGCACAAGTACGCTCACACCTTGAGTATGCTCCACTTTCTTGGTTTGCCTGCACTCCCCCCATCTCATCTGCGACTGTTTGACAGAGAAGAGAACAGAGCAAGACGTCTCATCTCTCGCCTGGACCCATCCTGGATAGATCTGTCATTTCAGCAGAGCCTTCAACACAGGAGGGATGTGGGTGGCCTTACTGTTATGTACAAGGCCAACATTGTCAAAGTACAACACTTGGATCCACTTCGAGGACAGCGTGAAACAAGCTTTTATGCCACAAGACGGGCGGAAAGCAGCAACTTCACTCTGGCTGTACCCTTCTCCAGAACATCACTCCATCTGAGATCATATATACCCAGGATGACTCGAGTATGGAACACATTCGTACAGCATAATGATGTCAACGAGATAAAGTCAGTTGATCAAATGAAAATGCTGGCCCACAGATGGCTCCAACTTCATCCTGTTCCCTACTTGTGTGTCTCATAACAATAAAAATGCTTTCAAATGAGCTGATGTAGGTAACAGCTCTTAGCTTGCCAATAAAGTTAGGAATCCTTTACCTGTAAATTGCTTGCTAATAAAGTTAGGAATCCTTAACCTGTAAATAGCTTGCCAATAAAGCTAGGGATCCTTAACCTAACCTTGTCAAACCCTGTGTAAAAAAAAAGGAGAGAAAGAGAGAGAGGAGAGAAAGAGAGGAAAGAGAGAGAGAGAGAATGAATATTGCCTTACATCTGATCCTGAGGTGTACAGGCGCACTGATGACTGTTGCCAGAGGGTTGGAAGCTGAGCACTTGTACTGGCCGGCCCTCCGTCGACTGACTCTCTGCAAGACGAGGGAGTCCCCGGAGAGAATGACCCCGGAGGTCATGTTCTGCACTTGCACCGTGCCCTGGGTTGGGGGGAGACGAATAGGATTAGAGGTCAAGGTCACTTAGGTTAAGTAAGGTTTGTCAGGAAACAAGTGTTTCCTGACGCGGGTCTTAGTTATATGATGACCCTCAGCTGGAACTTTTGGTCTTCTGACCGAGGCCTTCCACTGGCTTAAGAATTATTGTTATATGTCACAAGGTCACTAAGTTTGACCTTGGGTTAAGTTGTGACGGTCAATGATCTGGTCCAGTGTGGAGGGGGTCAAGGATCTGGTCCAGTGTGGAGAGGGTCAATGATCTGGTATAGTGTGGAGACGGTCAAGGATCTGGTATAGTGTGGAGGCGGTCAAGGATCTGGTCTAGTATGGAGAGGGTCAAGGATCTGGTCCAGTGTGGAGAGGGTCAAGGATCTGGTCCCGAGTGGAGAGGGTCAAGGATCTGGTCTAGTATGGAGAGGGTCAAGGATCTGGTCCAGTGTGGAGAGGGTCAACGATCTGGTCTAGTGTGGAGTGGGTCAAGGATCTGGTCTTGTGTGGAGACGGTCAAGGATCTGGTCCAGTGTGGAGACTGTCAAAGATCTGGTCCAGTGTGGAGAGGATCAAGGATCTGGTCTAGTGTGGAGACGGTCAAGGATCTAGTCTTGTGTGGAGACGGTCAAGGATCTGGTCCAGTGTGGAGACGGTCAAGTATCTGGTCCAGTGTGGAGAGGGTCAAGGATCTGGTCTAGTGTGGAGAGGGTCAAGGATCTGGGCCAGTGTGGAGACTGTCAAGGATCTGGTCCAGTGTTTACCTGGAGTTTACCTGGAGAGAGTTCCGGGGGTCAACGGCCCCGCGGCCCGGTCTGTGACCAGGTCTCCTGGTGGATCAGAGCCTGATCAACCAGGCTGTTACTGCTGGCTGCACGCAATCCAACGTACGAGCCACAGCCCGGCTGGTCAGGTACCGATTTTAGGTGCTTGTCCAGTGCCAGCTTGAAGACTGTCAGGGATCTATTGGTAATCCCCCTTATGTATGCTGGGAGGCAGTTGAACAGTCTCGGGCCCCTGACACTTACTGTATTGTCTCTTAACCTGCTAGTGACACCCCTGCTTTTCATTGGGGGGATGTTGCATCGTCTGCCGCCTGCGTTCCAGGGAATACAGGTTCAGGAACTTCAAGCGCTCCCAGTAATTGAGGTGTTTTATCTCCATTATGCGCGCCGTGAAGGTTCTCTGTACATTTTCTAGGTCAGCAATTTCACCTGTCTTGAAAGGTGCTGTTAGTGTGCAGCAATATTCCAGCCTAGATAGAACAAGCGACCTGAAGAGTGTCATCATGGGCTTGGCATCCCTAGTTTTGAAGGTTCTCATTATCCATCCTGTCATTTTTCTAGCAGCTGCGATTGATACAATGTTATGGTCCTTGAAGGTGAGATCCTCCGACATGATCACTCCCAGGTCTTTGACGTTGCTTTTTCGCTCTATTTTGTGGCCGGAATTTGTTTTGTACTCTGATGAAGTTTTGATTTCCACATGTTTACCATATCGGAGTAATTGAAATTTCTCATCGTTGAACTTCATATTGTTTTCTGCAGCCCACTGAAAGATTTGGTTGATGTCCTCCTGGAGCCTTGCAGTGTCTGCAATGGAAGACACTGTCATGCAGATTCGGGTGTCATCTGCAAAGGAAGACACGGTGCTGTGGCTGACATCCTTGTCTATGTCAGATATGAGGATGAGAAACAAGATGGGAGCGAGTACTGTGCCTTGTGGAACAGAGCTTTTCACCGTAGCCGCCTTGGACTTTACTCTGTTGACTACTACTCTGTGTGTTCTGTTTGTGAGGAAATTATAGATCTATCTACCGACTTTTCCTGTTATTCCTTTAGCACGTATTTTGTGCGCTATTACGCCATGGTCACACTTGTCGAAGGCTTTTGCAAAGTCTGTATATATTACATCTGCATTCTTTTTGTCTTCTAGTGCATCTAGGACCTTGTCGTAGTGATCCAATAGTTGAGACAGACAGAAGCGACCTGCTCTAAACCCATGTTGCCCTGGGTTGTGTAACTGATGGGTTTCTAGATGGGTGGCGATCTTGCTTCTTAGGACCCTTTCAAAGATTTTTATGATATGGGATGTTAGTGCTATCGGTCTGTAGTTCTTTGCTATTGCTTTACTGCCCCCCTTTGTGGAGTGGGGCTATGTCTGTTGTTTTTAGTAACTGTTGGACGACCCCCGTGTCCATGGTCCCTCTCCATAGGATGGTAAAAGCTCGTGATATTGGCTTCTTGCAGTTCTTGATGAACACGGAGTTCCACGAGTCTGGCCCTGGGGCAGAGTGCATGGGTATGTCATTTATCGCCTATTCGAAGTCATTTGGTGTCAGGATAACATCAGGTAGAATTTGGTTAACACAAGCCTATGGCTCTCTGATAAAAAATTAATTTTGATCTTCGACTCTCAGTCTGGTTAGCGGCTTGCTAAAAACTGAGTCATATTGGGACCTGAGTAGCTCACTCATTTCCTTGCTGTCATCTGTGAAGGGCCCATCTTGTTCAAGTAGGGGGCCCAATACTGGATGCTGTTCTCGACTTTGATTTGGCATAGGAAAAGAAATACTTTGGGTTTCTTTCGATTTCATTTATGGGTTTTAGTTCTTCCCGCGATTCCTGACTCCTATAAGATTCCTTTAACTTAAGTTCGATGTTTGCTATTTCTCTGACCAGTGACTCCCTACGCATTTCAGATATATTGGCCTCTTTTAGCCGCTCTGTTATTCTTTTTCGCCACCTGTAAAGGGAGCGCCTGTCTCTTTCTATTTTACGTCTACTCCTCCTTTTTCTAAAGGAATAAGCCTTGAGCATACATCGAGTGCCACCGAGTTAATCTGTTCTAGGCATAAGTTGGGGTCTGTGTTGCTTAGTCTATCTTCCCAGCTTATATCGTTTAGGACTTGGTTTACTTGGTCCCACTTTATGTTCTTGTTATTGAAGTTGAATTTGGTGAAGACTTCCTTGTGACTAATCTCATTTTGTCGGTCTGGGGCTCCGCGCATACATGTCTGAACCTCGATTATATTGTGATCTGAGTATATTGTTTTTGATATGGTGACATTTCGTATCAGATCATCATTGTTAGTGAAGATGAGGTCTAGTGTATTTTCCAATCTAATAGTCTCTATTATTTGCTGGTATAAGTTGAATTTTGTGCATAGATTTAAAAGCTCGTGTGTGTGTGAGTTCTCGTCAGAGCTGCCTCCTGGTGTTATCACTGCAACATTATTTGCTATAATCCTCCATTTTAGGTGTGGAGAGGGTCAAGGATCTGGTCTAGTGTGGAGAGGGTCAAGGATCTGGTCTAGTGTGGAGAGGGTCAAGGATCTGGTCTAGTGTGGAGAGGGTCAAGGATCTGGTCTAGTGTGGAGAGGGTCAAGGATCTGGTCCAGTGGGGAGAGGGTCAAGGATCTGTTCCAGTGGGGAGAGGGTCAAGGATCTGGTCTAGTGTGGAGACGGTCAAAGATCTGGTCTAATGTGGAGACGGTCAAGGATCTGGTCTAATGTGGAGAAAAATCAAGGATCTGGTCAAGTGTAAATTATTACTGTAGTAATTAAAGTTAATAAGAACCCTGATCAAGGTCCTGGGACCCTGATGAAGATCCTGGGCTCTTATCAAGGGCCCTGATCAAGGTTCCGTGACCATGATCAAGGTCCTGGGACCCTGATCAAGGTCCTGGGACCCTGATCAAGGTTCTGGGACCCTGATCAAGGTCCTGGGACCCTGATCAAGGTCCTGGGACCCTGATCAAGGTTCTGGGACCCTGATCAAGGTTCTGAGACCCTGATCAAGGTCCTGGGACCCTGATCAAGGTTCTGAGACCCTGATCAAGGTCCTGGGACCCTGATAATTTCTAACACATAAACCTTGGTAATTGATACCCACAAATTGGTTTAAAAAGACACGTACCCAAACATTGGGACACAGAAAACGTTTCGGTCCCAGGACCGAAACGTTTTCTACCAAATATGTACCAGCTTGTGAAAGTAGGAAATAAAACGTTAGTGCTTTCACGTGCTTACACACACACACATCTTCAGAAGAACAGAAAGAATAGCGTTGTATTGTGATTTCTTCCATGTCCTAGTGTTTACTCTCGTGTTTTTTAAAACAAATCTCAAGAATAACAGCACACGATGGCCTGAAAGTGACGCGTGCGTGTGCGCGTGAGAGAGAGAGAGAGAGAGAGAGAGAGAGAGAGAGAGAGAGAGAGGAGGAGAGAGAGAGAGAGAGAGAGAGAGAGAGAGAGAGAGAGAGAGAGAGAGAGAGAGAGAGAGAGAGAGACAGAGACAGAGACAGAGACAGAGACAGAGACAGAGAGGCATGACGAACAATACAGACTGCATCTCACAGGACAGAGACAGAGACAGAGACAAGGGACTAGTGACCTGATTAAATCAACTTCACACGCCTTCGTCTTCCACTCTTCTTCCCACAGGGACTGCAGGTACAAGGGCACCAAGCTTCCTCAAAGAAAACATCCCAAAACGGATAACGTCTCAGACCGTTTTCTTGGCGACATCCCAGCAAGTTGGGGAATGCTGCGGGACACTCGCAAGGCGCTTGCTGAACCACGTCAAATCTAGTCGCATGGGTCCACAGCACATTCTCGTCAAAACAGTAATTCCATAGTCTTACATTGTCCATGACGTCTATTTCATTGTGGACACTCCCAGGAAATATGTTTGGGAAGAAAAAGACAAAATGATCTGTTTCTGCGTGAGTGACAAGATGCGCCTGCAAGCTTCTTCAGGGCACTGAACATGAGAATGTGATTGGATGCCATAGCCTGCAACTAGTTGTGAGTAAGATGATGTAATCAGTCCATCAGTCTTTGGAGAAGAGTTCAGCTCCATGGAAACACCAGCTATACCTTTTAATTTTTAATTCGTATCCAGTCAGGCAACGATAAAAGCTACGAGAATAATTGCTATACTGCCCAAGGGAACAAAAGCTTGCTGTATTTCCTTGTTATATTCCATCACGCAGGATGAGTTAGTGTGTTGAAATGTGTCAGCCTGAGCTGGGAGACTTCAGTAGTGTCAGCCTGAACTGGGAGGCATCAGTAGTAGTGTCAGTCTGAACTGGGAGGCTTCAGTGTAAGCCTGAACTTGGAGACTTCAGTAAGACAAGTATTCCAGTAAGGGATCATCAGCTACGACAGCTTCAAAGGTTTACCTTCCAGCAGAGCTGCTGTTACTGTCACTTGGGAATTATCATTACTCAGGATTTTCCAAAACACACACCAGAAATGGAATTTTATGGTGAGACACTAGAATGATGAAAAATAGGGGGTAAACACTAAGTGACTAGAACCTACACACAGTACTGGAACCTATTTAGAGCACCTACCTCGTGGTACCAGGTGATGGCGGAGGCTGGGGGGTTAGCATCGACGGTGCAGGTGAAGTATACGTCGTCTCCCTCCTTCAGTGTCTGTGGGTTGAGCGACCGACCCAGCGATACCGACACTGATGGTGGATCTGTTCCAGAGGATACAAGAACCCAATGAAGGAGCGAGAGAGAGCGAGAGAGAGACAGACAGAAACAGAGAGAGACAGACACACCAAAATAACATTTATAGTCAAAGAACAATCTCTTACACTCCAGAACTATTTTACCCTAAACTCAATTTTTTTTAAAGCTTCCGTGTACTGATTTATACTCGACAACTACACAAGTCCCAGCTAAGTGCACTACACAGGTGTCTTAATTAAGAGAGAAACAGCAGTTCGCTCCTGGGAATCGCACACACGCCTGAGAACTGACAACACACTGAGGTACATTGCAAGCGCTTGGGAAGGCTAGGAAGATGCGTTTGAAGATTTGTGGCAGAAATGAGTAATGTTCTAAATGTGGTTGAAACAGATAAGACAACTTAAAGAATAAATCCAGATGTACTCCTTTTGGGCATAATTTCTACGCCTATTGTGTATCTACATGTTATACCGTCGACAGGATGGATATGACGTACACAAACTAGCCACTACCGTCCACAGAATGGATATAAGGTACACAAACTAGCCATTACCATCCACAGGATGGATACGAGGTACTCATACTAGCCACTACCGTCCACAGGAAGGATACAAGGTACTTATACTAGCCTCTACCGTCCACAGAATGGATATGAGGTACACAATAAACTATCCATTACCATCCACAGGATGGATATAAGGTACTCATACTAGCCACTACCGTCCACAGGAAGGATACAAGGTACTTATACTAGCCTCTACCGTCCACAGAATGGATATGAGGTACACAATAAACTATCCATTACCATCCACAGGATGGATATGAGGTACTCATACTAACCACTACCGTCCACAGGAAGGATACAAGGTACTTATACTAGCCTCTACCGTCCACAGAATGGATATGAGGTACACAATAAACTATCCATTACCATCCACAGGATGAATATGAGGTACTCATACTAGCCACTACCATCCACAGGAAGGATACAAAGTGCACAATAAACGAGCACTTAGTGACAAAATCTAAAACCCTAACCTTTGTGTTCCTACCATTAATTACACCAGGGTCAGACAGAATTTCTTTACAAGTGTAATTAAGAGGACGTTACATTTTTAAGAACTATGAAATCTTAATTTCTGTCTGTCTTTCTGTCTTTCTGTCTGTCTTTCTGTCTGTCTTTCTGTCTGTCTTTCTGTCTGTCTTTCTGTCTGTCTGTCTCTCATGTTAATTAAAGCTATAGTCAAGACAAGGCACGATAACGACCCTTCTGACAGAAAAGGGATAGAAGAGGCAGAATAGGAAATATATGAGAGGGGAGATAAGGGGAAAATGTGAAACAAAGGGAGGAGGGAAAGGGAATAAAAACAAGAAATAAGCGAGAAAAAAGAGGCAAAGAGAGACGGGAATAATGGAGAATTCTCAATGCAGTGACATTAATAAGAGAAGAGAGAATGAGAAAGAAAATAAGGAGCAAAATGTGTGAGGACACCACATATGATTTATTGAATAAGAACAGGCAAAAAATTTACGGGGATTCGAACCGCGTTGCTGGCATGTACCAGGAACATCATGCCAGGCCCACTGGGTGAGTCAGAGTCCATTTGTGAGTCAGAGTCCATTCATTCAGGGTTCGTTAACGACGTCCAAATGCATGCGGCTTAGAACTAGTACTGCTTACCCTAACAATGTGATCTTGGTATAAAAAATAATAGGCCTACACACGCACGCACGCACACACACACACACACACACACACACACACACACACACACACACACACACACGCACGCACGCACGCACACACACACACACACACACACACACAATATATTTTACTAAGAATTATAACAGAGATTCAACCAAATCACTCACTCAAAAAAAAAAAATTAAGAAAATCTTTGAAAACAGTGGAAGAGAAAATATTTGACAAGAGATTTTAAGAAAAATATGAAGACAAAAATACAAGGAATGAAAGAGGAGTCTTCGTCGACAGTCACTGTCGTCACTGTCGACAGCCACTGTCGTCAGTCACTGTCGACACTGTCGTCAGTCACTGTCGAGAGTCACTGTCGTCAGTCACTGTCGTCAGTCACTGTCGTCAGTCACTGTCGTCAGTCACTGTCGTCAGTCACTGTCGTCAGTCACTGTCGTCAGTCACTGTCGTCAGTCACTGTCGACAGTCACTGTCGACAGTCACTGTCGACAGTCACTGTTGACAGTCACTGTCGACAGTCACTGTCGACAGTCACTGTCGACAGTCACTGTCGTCAGTCACTGTCGACAGTCACTGTCGACAGTCACTGAACTGGAAGAAACATGTGGAGGATTAAATACCTTTATATACTACGTATACAGGATGTAGGATACACAAGCTGGGATGTAGGATACACAAGCTGTGTAGGATACACAAGCTGTGTAGGATACACAAGCTGGGATGTAGGATACACAAGCTGTGTAGGATACACAAGCCGGGGTGTAGGATACACAAACTGGGGTGTAGGATACACATGCTGGGATGTAGGATACACAAGCTGGGATGTAGGAAACAAGCCGGGATGTAGGATACACAAGCTGGGATGTAGGATACACAAGCCGGGATGTAGGATACACAAGCTGGGATGTAGGATACACAAGCTGGGATGTAGGATACACAAGCTGGGATGTAGGATACACAAGCTGGGATGTAGGATACACAAGCCGGGGTGTAGGATACACAAGCCGGGATGTAGGATACACAAGCTGGGATGTAGGATACACAAGCTGGGGTGTAGGATACACAAGCTGGGATGTAGGATACACAAGCTGTGTAGGATACACAAGCCGGGGTGTAGGATACACAAACTGGGGTGTAGGATACACATGCTGGGATGTAGGATACACAAGCTGGGATGTAGGATACACAAGCCGGGATGTAGGATACACAAGCCGGGGTGTAGGATACACAAGCTGGAGTGTAGGATACACAAGCTGGGATGTAGGATACAGAAGCTGGGATGTAGGATACACAAGCTGGGATGTAGGATACAGATGCTGGGATGTAGGATACACAAGCTGGGGTGTAGGATACAGAAGCTGGGATGTAGGATACACAAACTGGGATGTAGGATACACAAGCTGGGATGTAGGATACACAAGCTGGGGTGTAGGATACGCAAACTGGGGTGAAGGATACACAAGCTGGGGTGTAGGATACACAAGCTGTGTAGGATACACAAGCCGGGATGTAGGATACACAAGCTGGGGTGCAGGATACACATGCTGGGATGTAGGATACACAAGCTGGGATGTAGGATACACAAGCCGGGATGTAGGATACACAAGCTGGGGTGTAGGATACACAAGCTGGGATGTAGGATACACAAGCTGGGATGTAGGATACACAAGCCGGGATGTAGGATACACAAGCTGGGATGTAGGATACACAAGCCGGGATGTAGGATACACAAGCTGGGGTGTAGGATACACAAGCTGGGGTGTAGGATACACAAGCTGGGGTGTAGGATACACAAGCTGGGATGTAGGATACACAAGCTGGGATGTAGGATACACAATCCGGGATGTAGGATACACAAGCCGGGATGTAGGATACACAAGCCGGGATGTAGGATACAATCTGGGATGTAGGATACACAAGCTGGGGTGTAGGATACACAAGCTGTGTAGGATACACAAGCTGGGATGTAGGAAAAAAGCTGGGATGTAGGATACACAAGCCGGGATGTAGGATACACAAGCTGGGATGTAGGATACACAAGCTGGGATGTAGGATACACAAGCTGGGATGTAGGATACACAAGCTGGGGTATAGGATACACAAGCTGGGATGTAGGATGCACAAGCTGGGGTGTAGGATACACAAGCTAGGATGTAGGATACACAAGCTAGGATGTAGGATACACAAGCTGGAGTGTAGGATACACAAGCTGGAGTATAGGATACACAAGCTGGGGCGTAGGATACACAAGCTGGGATGCAGGATACACAAGCTGGGATGTAGGATACACAAGCTAGGATGTAGGATACACAAGCTGGAATGTAGGATGTACAAACTGAGGTGTAGGATACACAAGCCGGGATGTAGGATACACAAGCTGGGATGAAGGATACACAAGCTAGGGTGTAGGATACACAAGCTGGGATGTAGAATACACAAGCTGGGATATAAGATACACAAGCTGGGGTGTAGGATACACAAGCTGGGGTGTAGGATACGCAAGCTGGGGTATAGGATACGCAAGCTGGAGTGTAGGATACACAAGCTGGGATGTAGGATACACAAGTTGGGGTGTAGGATACACAAGCTGGGGTGTAGGATACACAAGCTGGGGTGTAGGATACACAAGCTGGGGTGCAGGCTAGGGAAGCTAGGCAGACCAGGCAGGCTAGGCAGGGCAAGCAGTCCGGGCAGGCCAGGATACCTACAATGCACGTCGAGGATGGAAGTATTGGAGATAGCTGAGGCGGAGACCGAGGGGTTGGCAGCTGAGCAAGTCACCAGGGCACCATCATCAAGGCGACTCACGTTCACCAGTAACGTTGACACGCTCACCAAACCTTCTTCTTCTGTCTGGGTGAAACAATACTCATTACGTTCACCAAGAACCCCTAAATCCGTATGGCTCATTTTACTATGAAATGTGTGTATATAATATATATAATGCAGGCGAAAGAGATTATGGTGCACAGTTTTGGTCACCGTATTACAGAATGGATATAAATGCTCTGGAAAACATACAAAGGAGGATAACAAAGTTGATCCCATATATCAGAAATCTTCCCTATGAGGATAGACTGAGGACCCTGAATCTGCACTCTCTAGAAAGGCGTAGAATTAGGGGGGATATGATTGAGGTGTATAAATGGAAGACAGGAATAAATAAAGGGGATGTAAATAACGTGCTGAAAATATCTAGCCTAGACAGGACTCGCAGCAATGGTTTTAAGTTGGAAAAATTCAGATTCAGGAATGACATAGGAAAGCACTGGTTGGGTAATAGAGTTGTGGATGAGTGGAACAAACTCCCAAGTACAGTTATTGAGGCTAAAACGTTGTGTAGTTTTAAAAATAGGTTAGATAAATACATGAGTGGGTGTGGGTGGGTGTGAGTTGGACCTGATTAGCTTGTGCTACTAGGTCAGTTGCCGTGTTCCTTCCTTAAGTGAATGTGACCTGACCTGACTAGGTTTGGGCATAGGTTTAAGCCGGTAGGAGTCTTGGACCTGCCGCGTATGGGCCAGTAGGTCTGCTGCAGTGTTCCTTCTTTATGTTCTTATGATCTCCAGGTTATATTTATATATATATATATATATATATATATATTATATATATATATATATATATATATATATATATATATATATATATATATATATATATATATATATATATATATATTATATATACATATATATATATTAGTTAATATTAATGTAAATCATTTTCGGTGAACCATAATTATATGTTATGATGGGAGAAAGAATCTGGGGAGCACTAAAACCGCAGGTGGGGGGAGGAGAGGTTAGGGCCAAACACCTTGGATCAAGAACCCTCTCTTTTTAAATTCGTGATTTAAAAAAAAACTAATGTATTTTTCGTTTATTTAATGACGTTTGAATTTCAAATGTGTGTTTTAGTGGTGATTTAAATAATTTTTTAAAACTCATTTTCTGGTGTGATAACTGCATCCAGCCTGACCTTATACCCGACACTCGAACATACACGAATAACAGGAGCTGATTATACATGTGCAACAATTATCTTTAAGTATACGAATAAAGTTACCTAATTGTTGCACATGTATCTTATCAATTCGTCGGTATTTTTTTCACCATCATCATATTCACAGTAAAAGGAGTAAATACCTGATAAGAGGAGACAAGAGTAATGTACTACGTACTTCCCTGGTCACTGACTGACTGACGTTCCACTCCCCTCTCTCCCCCCCCCCCTCCAATTTGTATTCATTCCCGTAATTCAATTTGGCTTACACAAAGGCCCACAGGGATGATGATGATAATGACTACTTCTAGTAATGCCTGTGTGTGTTGGGGGGGCATAATTTAATAAAAAAAGAGCAAACTAAAATAAATATATACACCTAACTAGCGAGCAGGGGAGAGAAAGTGCTGTTGAGGCGGCGTGTAACTTGACACCGTAGCTGCGCTCAGGCAACGCCATCTACCCACTGGAAGATGACACCGTAGCTGCGCTCAGGCAACGCCATCTACCCACTGGAAGATGACACCGTAGCTGCGCTCAGGCAATGCTATCTACCCACTGGAACAACAATTGTTTTCAGACACTCTTATGTGCAGTTCAGGACATTCATTAGGACTGAAGAATCCACTCGTGTGCTGAGCTGTAAATTCATTAGAGTAGTTTTTTCCACTTCCTGTCAGTATCGTTACCTTGTAGTAGCTCCCGGACACACAGTATACTGGGCAGAAACCTCATATACCGGGCTACACATCCTGTAGACCCAGGATATATACACAGAGGTGTATATATGCTGCATATATATTCTCAGAATGTAGTTTAATCTCAACTTTGTGAATCCGAATATTCCTGTCTGGTGGTCAAGAGCTTACGCCCAACCTTAAGAGGCACTTAAGTCCCTCCCGTCTCCTAATAACATGTTCATTTTTCCACTATAATATAATCTACCTTGCCCATAATTATTATCGTATGTGCTTTGCGACAGTAATTATGGGCAAGGTAGATTATAGTGGAATAATGAGGCCTGGTCACAGACCGGGCCGCGGGGGGGTTGACCCCCGGAACTCTCTCCAGGTAAACTCCAGGAGACAGGGGTACTTACGTGCCCCGAACGACCCTAGTGTAGTCGATAGGCTTTAAACTCACTTAACCAACCTGTAGGCTCTCAGAATCCAATTACAGCTCAATGTAAAACGGTAAAGGCGATCGAATGCTCCACTACTGGAACCGTAAGAGGAGAGGCGGAGTTATCACAGGATTGTGAGGCTGTAGTGTGGTAGTCCAGACTTCATTTAACAGGTTAATTTAACCACACTAAGAAAATTGCCAGTCAAAAAGTATATAACGCACCTCTACTGACGACCATTAATTTGTTAATGTAAATAAATGGTGCAGAGAACCGACAAGTTGATAAAATGAGGAAACGTATCGCCACACAGTGGCTTCATCAGTCCAATACAGAGAAGAGTGGTGAAGAGGAGTAGTCTGAGGTAATCAGTCCCTCAGCCAGTGTGACGAAACGTTTCCTTGATAAAGACACCCAAGTGTTGGACATGTATCTAATTTATTGACTTATTAATGGTACAAGTCAGACCGAAACGTCGTCAGTTTCTCTTCTATATGCTGGTTATATCTGTGTATTGTTCCAGTCACGGTATTGTGTTCCAGTCACGGTATTGTGTTCCAGTCACAGTATTGTGTTCCAGTCACGGTATTGTGCTGTTCCAGTCAAGGTATTGTGCTGTTCCAGTAACGGTATTGTGTTGTTCCAGTCACGGTATTGTGTTGTTCCAGTCACGGTATTGTGTTGTTCCAGTCACGGTATTTTGTTGTTCCAGTCACGGTATTGTGCCTTTAATCCGGGTGTACTCCTTTTAACCCTTTTGGGGCCTAGTTAGTAGGCCTTTTGTGAATCCATATGTTCCTGTGCTACCCTCCACAGGATGGATATGGGGTACACAATAAACTAGCCACTACCATCCACAGGATGGATATTAGGTACACAAACTAGCCACTACCATCCACAGGATGGATATGGGGTATACAAACTAGCCACTACCATCCACAGGATAGATATTAGGTACACAATAAACTAGCCACTACCATCCACAGGATGGATATGGGGTATACAAACTAGCCACTACCATCCACAGGATGGATATGGGGTATACAAACTAGCCACTACCATCCACAGGATGGATATGAGGCACACAATAAACTAGCCACTACCATCCACAGGATGGATATGAGGCACACAATAAACTAGCCACTACCATCCACAGGTGGATATGAGGCACACAATAAACTAGCCACTACCATCCACAGGATGGATATGAGGCACACAATAAACTAGCCACTACCATCCACAGGATGGATATGAGGCACACAATAAACTAGCCACTACCATCCACAGGATGGATATGAGGCACACAATAAACTAGCCACTACCATCCACAGGAATGGATATGAGGCACACAATAAACTAGCCACTACCATCCACAGGATGGATATGAGGCACACAATAAACTAGCCACTACCATCCACACGATGGATATGAGGTACACAATAAACTAGCTATTACCATCCACAGGGTTACCTGACTAGGTTGGGCCAGTAGGCCTTCTGCAGTGTTCCTCCATTCTTATGATCTTATTACATAAACGCTATTAAATATTACATAGGAGTGATGAAAAAAATAAAGTGGGAACAGAAAACGAGAAGTTAGTGAGCACATCCCACACAGTCAGATAATCACTGTTGAGGACCAGAGCACCAGTGCTCCTTCCTACTGTCTTAGGAACAGTGAAATACTGTCTTGAAGCTATGTATGGAACCTGTCTCCACCATATCTTGTCACGTGACAGTGTAGGTGAGTACACAACTGGTTGCCGTGTCACGTGACAGTGTGAGTACACAACTGGTTGCCGTGTCACGTGACAGTGTAGGTGAGTGCACAACTGGTTGCCGTGTCACGTGACAGTGTAGGTGAGTGCACAACTGGTTGCCGTGTCACGTGACAGTGTAGGTGAGTACACAACTGGTTGCCGTGTCACGTGACACTGTAGGTAAGTACACAACTGGTTGCCGTGTCACGTGACAGTGTAGGCGAATACACAACTGGTTGCCGTGTCACGTGACAGTGTAGGTGAGTACACAACTGGTTGCCGTGTCACGTGACAGTGTAGGCGAATACACAACTGGTTGCCGTGTCACGTGACAGTGTAGGTGAGTCACAACTGGTTGCCGTGTCACGTGACAGTGTAGGCGAATACACAACTGGTTGCCGTGTCACGTGACAGTGTAGGTGAGTACACAACTGGTTGCCGTGTCACGTGACAGTGTAGGCGAATACACAACTGGTTGCCGTGTCACGTGACAGTGTAGGCGAGTACACAACTGATTGCCGTGTCACGTGACAGTGTAGGTGAGTACACAACTGGTTGCCGTGTCACGTGACAGTGTAGGCGAGTACACAACTGGTTGCCGTGTCACGTGACGGTGTAGGCGAATACACATCTGGTTGCCGTGTCACGTGACAGTGTAGGCGAGTACACAACTGGTTGCCGTGTCACGTGACAGTGTAGGCGAGTACACAACTGGTTGCCGTGTCACGTGACAGTGTCTATACCTCCCTGGGAAACGCAGGGTCGAACCTAACTTCTTCCAAATATCAATAATTGTGCCAGTGTGTTAGAACGTGTAACAGTATTAAAGCTTGTCCAGGAGCTGAGAGGATGCTTTAAAAGGGACACAGGTGAAGCTAGATAATGTACACAGCTTCAAGAATAGGTATGACAGGGGTGCCCTTCACTTCAACTTAAGCTTGGGTACCGTAGACATGGCTCTCACAC